GAATCGGCATGCGAGTGGATCCGTCTGAAGAAAGTCTGGTTGCTTGGGTACTCACCTGTTCAGTGTCAGCCTCTTATCGGTAGCTTCTTATCGCTGCTACCTACGCTCAGTGAATATCTCGAACCGATGCAACGTGTTGCTAAAGTCGATTACTGCTAGACAAGGTCCATGCCGAGCTACTTCAAGATGGGCGTCTCCAACGGAGCGTCCTAAGAAGCCAACGACAAGCTCCTCGTAGAAGTATCTACAGAGAGTACAGCCTCGCGCAGCCGCTATCTTTAGAGGTTTCGCGTAGTACCGTTGTGTTGTGTCATGTTTCGCGACTAGGCGGCAGGTGGCACATAAGTTGGTGGTATTCCAAGGAACGAGGAAGGTTAAAGTAAGTACAGCCATGCTTACACGAAATAAAAGAGAAGTCTGGAAAGCTTAGTTGTAATCATCTTGAAGTACATTGAGTCTTCGGGGCCACAGGAATCGATTGGTGGCTGAGGGCCGTCAGGATCTTCCCACAGCCACATTAGCGGCACATGCGTGACCCGGTCGCCGCGTCTGCCTAGTATAAGAGACACTGAATAGGAGGACTCGAGTGTCGACAATCAACAAAAGTCGTAATGGGGGTGGCGCATGCGTGATGGAAGAAGTCGCAGTGTTGGCGGTGCGAACCACAATGCTGCTAGTGCAGGGGCTCTCGCCAAAACAGGCATCGACCCGCGCATGTCGTCAGTAGACCCCATCCATCATGACTTTGCTCACACTGCGTGACTACGCGCTACGACTGCATACAATTCTGGATGTAATAATGGTACGTGTGATCAGGCGGCAGACCAGACAGGGTGGAAGTGACTTGAACACGCTGGTGGAGTAGCCGGATCTGCCAAACATTAGTGCAAGAGTCGATGCCTGTGTGCTCCTTCCGCCCAACGATTTACGAAAGGACGACCGGCGTCCCGCGAGGCCGTGATACATCAGCCCCTTCATAGCTAAAACCCATGAATGATTGTGGGTTGCGCACCTGAGGTTTTCCGAGAGGTTTTCGTTGTGAAGTGTCGCAGGCGTCGTCTAGGGAGCGCTTCCTCTCACACTGCGAACCTTTTGGATTCTTCGCTGAGATGGTCAAGCGAAACGGAGGTTCAACTTTCGAGCTTAAGGTCTATTCCGCTGTTGGACGAATGGAATCTCTCTCCAAGGCAAAATCCGTAGTGTGAACAGATCGACGATCGCGCTAGCGAGGTGTAGGGAGTGCCGGCAGCTATTGGAGCCACAACTGCCTCAAAACCAGTCGGAAGCCAGGCACGAGGCTTTTGAAACTCCTTTTGAACGATGCTTGAATAGACTAACCTATCGCTCCTGCCGAAGCAGAAGAAAGGTCAGCTGTGGCTAAAAAACAACGGGCGGCAAGATAGTCCCGGGCCTCGAGATCGCAGAAGGGGCGGGTGCACTAGCCGCTGTCGGCTAGGCTGAAGCACCTGCAGAGATCTGGCCACGACGCTGCTTGAGGCTTGACAGGCGAGCTATGCACGCCAATCCACTGCATTCCTGCCGTGATGCCTCATCTATGCTAGTCTTTGTTTTTGGCTGGCTATGCCCTTCACATCAATGTGCCCCGTGGTTGCGGAACACTTTCAGGGATGGGCTCAGCTCGCTGCGTTGAGCGTCAGCGACTCAGCGCTCTAAGGCGGCATCTGTATGGCATCGCGAAGCCATTGCCTGCATACTTGAAACGTATTCGCAGGTTCCTCCCCACCAGACAGTGCGTCGTGCCTAGCCCTTGAACGGCATGTTCCGGAGAACAGTGTAGGGGTCCATGGGTTCGATAGTCCAGACTCTGGACAGAGCAATCTGCATGGCCTGCGCGGTCTAGATTCTCACGAGACGTCTGGCTTGCCACTCATGAAGCCGTTGACCCCGGGACCGGCACCAACGACGGATTGTGGCTGAGATGTATACTGGCGCAGCAGCCCGCGGGTCCGTACCATAACATCTTTCTCTTGTCTGGTCGCGCTATCGACATCGTTATGGCGGTAGAGCTTGAGCAGCCTCACCTCTCTTTCCTCACGAGCCCGACGGGCGACGCAGCCATCGACGCCGACTTGCAGTATATTCGGGACTTGGACTGGGCCAGAACCGCCGCCGGACTCATTTCATCGTGGCCTCGCGAATTATTGTTACTCATCCATGTCGCCATGCTCTCTCCTCAACCACAGCTCTTCTTACTTGGCTCGGATTCGACCGTCCTTTACAACACAGCGTATGGTCGACTGCTGCATGACCACCATCCGCTGTACCAAGGGCGACCTATAAGTCTCAACACAGCTCTAATTCAGCAGCTGCCCGAAGGCGACACACTGAGCGGGTACGCAAGCGAAAAGTCTGGAGTTGATAGCGACCAACATACACCATTCTTCTTCTCCCGAAATGGTCGCCTTGAGGAAATCTTCTTGTCCATCACCACGACGGGCTTACCGCCGACCCTGGGCGGCTTCCATGCCACAACCCACAACGTTACCCGAGACGTGTTGGACTCTCGCCGCGAGCGTTCTCTAGACGAGTTCCGCAATGCTTGCGAGACTGCTTCGAGTCTGGAGACGCTATGGCCTTCAATTTTGAAGGGCATATCTAACGGAGATGGGGACATATCGTTCGCTGCTCTGTACCGCGTCGAGACGAACCAAGACAGTGTGAACGAGATTGGTCCTTCCAACAACCAAGCCAACTCCCTAGCCTTTGCCCTCTCCGGCACCGTTGGCTCCTTCCCAGCCGCACCCTTATCCACAATCAAGCCAAGTATGGATGAAGCATGGGTGAAAAGCTTCTTCAGGAGTGTCGATTCTCGTTCGCCGGTACTTCTCCAAGCTGAGAACGGTACTCTTCCCAAGGAGATGTGCGAAGCATCTACGAACCGATGCTATGGCGACACCTGCCACCAGGCGGTTATATTGCCAAGTGTCTCGAACCGGACTGCCAATGTTCATGCTGTCTTAATCGTCGGTCTGGCACCTCGTACACCTTACGACCGCTCCTACCAAACTTGGATCAAGACACTCCATCGTGACTTCTCCCACGAAGTGATCTCGATGGCAAACATTGAAGCTAGGAGCCGTACCGAGAAAATCCGGAGAGAAAGCATTGCCATAGGAAATGACATTTTCGCCAAAGAAGAAGCGCTCAAACAACAAGAGCTTGCTCGCGCAGCAGCTCTGGAGCAGCTTCATCTCAGCGAATCGCGGCTGCAAGAAGCCGTGGAGGCCAAACGACAACAAGAGAAGTAAATGACAACCTACTCAGGGTGTGCTTCCATGTGCTAACAGGGCGAAGCTTCGTTGACATGGTGAGCCATGAAGTACGCTTTGGATTCCGGACGGGTCGTTGCATGTCCTAACATACCGCAGATTCGAAATCCTCTTAGTGCTGTTATGCACTGTGCGGATTCCATAGCCCACTCGCTCTCTGAAGTAAGGCTTCTCCTCAACCAGTGCGAGAAGCGAAGCGCACCCGACAATGACAACTCCCGTACCGCCGACGACTTGCGGAATTTGAACAGCAGTATTGGCGATGCTGTCGATACGATCATGGCATGCACCATGCATCAGAAACGTATCATCGATGACATCCTCTCGCTCTCCAAACTGGATTCGAATTTGTTGGAGATCTGTCCAACAGTCTTTCACGTCAAGACCTTCTTGAATCAAGTCGAAAGCACTTTCAGAGCTGAGGCTGAACAGGCTGGAGTTCAGCTTGTAGCTGTAGCTGATGCTTCATTGAGCGAACTCGACGTTGACTGGATCGATGCTGATCCGGGCAGAGTGACACAAGTGCTATTCAACATGGTCGCCAATGCAATCAAGTTCACCAAGGATAGATCCGCCGAAAGAGCTGTCACTGTTCGCATCGGAGTAGCAGCTTGGCCACCCACTGCTATCTTTGACGGTCTCATCAAAGCAGTCCAAAAGAGTGAACCAACCGATCAACCGGTACTCGACGTCGAACCGTCGGACGGGTCAATATTCTTGTGGTTCAAAGTCGAAGATACAGGATGCGGAATGGATGAATCGACCAAAGCGCGCGTCTTCAGCCAGTTCACCCAGAACATGCCCAAGACCTACAGCAAATACGGCGGGTCTGGGCTGGGGTTGTCCATTAGCAAGAAATTGGTGGGCTTGATGGGTGGCGAGATTGGCTTCCAGTCTCAGCAACATATCGGGTCGACGTTTGCCTTCTATACAAAAGCTTCCAGGGCTCTACCACCGAGACCGTCTCTATCTACCAGGAGCTCCGAAAAGTCCATCACTACCGAAGGACCAACCTCGTCGCTGCCTCATGCGATGGGTACCGCTGCGGATGCGCCGCCGACCACGCAATCTAGCATCCTGCTTGTTGAAGACAACATGGTCAATCAACGGGTGCTCAAGAAACAGCTGCAACTCCAGGGCTATATCGTTTACACAGCCGACAACGGCCAAGAAGCTTTCGACTTCATCAAAACTACGCAACACTGGAAAGGCTCAACCTCATCGCAACCACGCGGCGATGAGCCACGTATCGACGTCATTCTTATGGACATTGAGATGCCCATTGTCAATGGGCTTGAGTGCGCGAGTATGATTCGCGCTGCGCAGGAAGACGGGTCAATCGATAAGCATCTACACATCATCGCTGTTACCGCAAATGCAAGACCCGAGCAACTGAAGCGCGCGCGAGAGACTGGAATGGACGACGCAGTTCCGAAGCCCTTCCGCGTGCGAGATCTCGCAGCTGTTATAGAGCAATTGAGAATTGAGTGATCGGACCAGAGGATGCCTTACGGTGAAGCGGTGACCAGCGCGCCTTCCCGTTTCGTCTTGTTTGGCTTTCACCTCGCCAGGGTTTAAATGCTTGGCGTGACAACTACGTTGCAACCTCGAATCGTCGCTTTCTTCGTGTCGAGACAGTGTAGCCACCCAAGTACAATCCAAGGCAAGTCGAAGAACAGCTGAGCCTGCGCTCATACTAACCCACAACAGATGAGCTTCAATCTGGACGCACTCTTCCACGACCCTGATGACTTGCGTTCCGGGACATTGTCGCTTAGTCTGTCAGTATCCAAAGCGTCTACTGTAGAGTCAGCCGGGGGCCTCTGGCACGAGAACCTAGTCGATGAAGAACAGGAAGCGAAACACGGCGAAGAGGCCCGTCTGAGAACTACCATCGCAACCTTAAGTCAGCAATGCGAATACTGGAAAGGGCAGGCTGAGGAACGAGGCAAGACCATCGAAGATCTGGATCGAAAGACGTCGAAAGCTGCCGCGGCATCTGACCTCCCGACCGACACCGTACGCCGTCTCAACCGCCTCGAAAGTGAGGTTACGCGTCTGCGATCAGAGAACACGCAGCTGAAGGATACTCTCAAGACCATCGAGTACGAAAACGTCAATCTGGGCAATCAGAACGATGGGAAGACGCGGAAGCTGAAGGGTGCCAATAAGAAGGTCAAGAATGCTAAGGACATGGCGGGGAAGGAGGAAGAGAAAGCCAAAGACGCTCAAGGCGACAAGCAACGCCACCTCGCATCTGAACGGAGGATGAAGAAGGAACGCGGTGACGCTTTGGCTGCACTACAGCAACAGAGAAAGCTCAACGGTGACCTGCGCGCGGAGCTTGAGGTCGAGCAGTCCGGTGCACCTCACATGCGCGATGTTGCTACGGATCCGAACAACACCACTGCCATCATTCCGATTCAGTTCGATATCCGTCGCACCGATGTACAACCTATGACCAGAGTCCTTCAGTGGCACCAGATGAATCTCACCGAAAGGTTCAAAGAGTGGTACAAGGACTGGAAGAAGGCATCGACCGGCGAGGTACGCAAAGTCGTCGGCTCGGAGGGTGTGGATGATGAGAGAAAGAAGCTTGAAAAGCTGTATGGAGATATGGTTGAGATGCCTGAAGGTTACATGGAGACTGCTGCTGAGCACGATGGGTGGCGATCGAAGCGCGGAGTCCAAGCGGTTTGTCGTCATGCTGAAGCGCGACACAACGGAGAGATGTAGATGTTGGAGATAGTGGCTTCTTATGAGTTGCTACGTCTGCTTTCCTACTTGATACGTAGTATTGAACAACACGCTATCAAAGAATCTGACGTACTGTCCACGGCCTCTCACACAGCTCGCTTTCCTAACTCGCTGCTCTATGATTGCCTTCACTCCCCTTTTCATCTGCAGGCGCTGAGCTTCTCAGTCCGGTGAGGCAAACAGAACGCACTACTGATTTTCCCGAGTAAAAGTGGTCGAGAGTCCTGAGAGTTGTTGTATTGTGAACGTCGAGTGTTAGCTAAGCACCGAAGATGATCGCTAGCATCCTCGACCCGCGGCAGGTCTGACGCACGACGCACGACGCACGACGCACGACCCTCCGACCCACATCACTCCGCCAAACAACACCGCCAGGGTTCAATAGCGACCATGTCCAACATCCTGCCCTTACACCACTCGTACTACCCCTCGCGCCAGTCGTCTCTCTCTCGCTCCGTAGACACTGCGCAAAAGCCATCGACGTCCTCCTCTGCAGCCACGATCCGTCCGCAACCCGGCACACAATCGCAACCACAAGGGCAGCACATCGCAATGAGCGGCACCCCAAGTCAAGGGCCTGGGCTGCGGTACCCGTCGAATAAAAAGAGCATATACGACAGGAATTTGAACCGGAGTAAGAATGCGGAGCTTAGTAGGGCGGCGTTTGCGTACCTCTTCATTGAGATGATTGCATATGCGCAGAAGGGCGCGAAGGATGTGGGGGACTTGGAGCAGAGGTATGCTAGATACATGCAGCTGCGGAACTTCACATATGCACTGCGACATACCGCATTGAGTTTCCAGCTGAGCGCGTTCTGACACCATCTAGACTGAATACACAAGGCTACCCCATTGGCCTCCGCTTACTCGACCTTCTCCTCTCCCGAACCGCCAACCCCCTCGCGAGCATTCGGCCCACTCGTATCCTGCCTCTCCTCCAGTTCATTGCACAACAGCTATACCGCTACCTATTCGGTCGACCTGCCGATGCATTAGAAAAGTCTGGCACCGACCCAGGACAGTACATGCTCTTCGACAACGACCCCATGGTGAACCAATACATAAGTCTGCCCAAAGAACTGTCGAGTTTGAACTGCGCGGCCTTTGTTGCGGGCATAATTGAGGGTGTTTGTGATGGTGCGGGGTTTCCGACCGAGGGCGTGACAGCGCATAGTGTAGGCGATGAAGAGGGCAAGGGTCTGTGGCCAGGGAAGACGGTCTTTTTGATCAAGTTCAAGCCCGAGGTGTTGGAGAGGGAGGAGATACTGGGCAGGGGTGGGGGCTGAGCTTTGGAGGGTCGTCTAATTCCTGAGAAGCAGCTGGGTTCAACTACTCATGATGGCATAGCGAGGCGTTGTGGACTTTCTGGAATTCAAGGTTGCTACCACTCAGCATGTATATCATTGCACTGTCGAATCAACCTCCGCGAGACCATCCGTCGGTTGAGAACAGGCCCTCCCATCTGCATGACTGATGACTCCCTCAAAGGTTCCGTATACGCATTGCGCCAGCATATATAGCCTCTCCCGCGCAGAACTGCTATCACCGACTACCAGATGCGGCAAGCGCAGAGACACGTGATCGTGACGCTGATGACAAATGCTGATTGGCCAGACCATTCGTGGTATGGCGCATCTATTGGAAAGAACATTCCACAAGGTCGCGCCATCGCAGTCAAACAAATACAAAAGTGCAGCCCGGATCTTAACACAGCTTCAATACGCTACAGTCGCCTTTCAACAGCCCTTCAGCAAGACACAATACTCAAATCACTCGACACACAACCTCAGCACGCCGCCTTGACAAACACCCCAACATCAACCATGCCAACAGAGATCTCAGCACCATTGCACTTCCGCACTCTCCTAAACGGTCACACCTATCTCATCGCTGACTTCTACGCGACGTGGTGTCCACCTTGCAAGCAAATCGCGCCCATCTACAATCAACTCTCCACTACGCACGCCTCACCAGGGAAATTCGCATTCGTCAAAGTCAACGTAGATGAGCAAAGGGAGATCGCGGGGCAATATGGTGTCACAGCTATGCCTACGTTCATGGTCTTCAAGGATGGAAAGAAGATTGAGGAGATCAGGGGCGCGGATGTGAGGGCGCTGAAGGCTGCTGTGGAGAAGGTTGCTGGTGAGCTCGGGAAGGTTAAGGAGGAGAAGGTAGAGGCGAAGAAGCCTGAGGCCAAGCCAGAGGTCAAGGAGGACAGCAAGAAGGAGGAGGATGAGAAGACGGTTAGTGGTAGCTATGGGATGACTGGAGGGAACAACTGGAAGATGTCGTTGCATTAGGTATGGAAGGTTTGAGAGGTGATAGCCACATGCAGATCTGGAGGGCGATGTCTTTGTGATACCCAGGAATTGAATGCATATCGTAGTAAACTACATTTATCAACAGCTATGAATGCGATTTCGGGCGTGATTAGTATACGTGATCACTATCCAGTGTACGTCATCCTGTCGCGTTGGTGTTGGATTTGTAAAGTTGAGACGCGTAAGGACACCTTTCAGACTAGCGATCGCCACCGCGGGACCCTGATAGCCGCTGTGCTGCTCTAGCTCCCCACCAGATTTCCCACCGCTCTTCAACACACATTTGGAGCTTCAACTCATCCTTGAGCTTCATACACTTCCAAGATGCTTTTCCGCAATTTAATACCCGCAGCCATTGCGCTGCTGCCCGCAATTGCCTCGGCATCGGCCGTCATCGACCTCACACCCTCCAACTTCGACGATGTCGTTCTTAAGTCCGGCAAGCCCGCCCTCGTAGAGTTCTTCGCTCCCTGGTGCGGCCACTGCAAGAATCTCGCCCCCGTCTACGATGAGCTCGCTGGCGTCTTCCAGCACGCTGGAGACAAGGTCAGCGTCGCAAAGGTCGATGCTGATGCTCACAAGGCGCTCGGCAAGCGTTTCGGTGTCTCAGGCTTCCCTACCCTCAAGTGGTTCGATGGAAAGAGCGACAAGCCTACGGATTACAGCGGCGGACGTGACCTCGAGAGCTTGAGCAAGTTCATCACGGAGAAGAGCTCGGTCAAGCCCAAGGTCAAGGGCAAGCTGCCTAGCCAGGTCGTCTACTTGGACGACAAGACCTTCAAGGAGAAGGTTGGAAAGGACCAGGATGTGCTTGTTGCCTTCACTGCTCCATGGTGCGGACGTATGTTATACTAGCCTCTTCTCTATCGACTGTTCATCGCTAACACCTGGCAGACTGCAAGACTCTCGCCCCCGTTTGGGAGACCCTCGCGAACGACTTCGTTACCGAACCCGGTGTCTTGATCGCCAAGGTCGACGCTGAAGCTGAGAACTCCAAGGCCCTCGCACAGGAGCAAGGCGTGTCATCCTACCCTACCATCAAATACTTCCCCAAGGGCTCCACCGAGCCTCTTCCCTACAACGGCGCCCGTGCCGAGAAGGACTTCGTCGACTTCATCAACGCAAACGCCGGTACCCACCGTGCTGTAGGTGGTGGTCTTGACGCCACTGGTGGCACCATCGAGGCCTTCAACACCCTCATTGAGAAGTTTCAGGGCTCATGGGCCGGCGGTGCTGAGGAGGCCAAGACCCTCGCCGGTACTCTGCAGGACAAGTACGCCGAATACTACGTCAAGGTCTTCAACAAGATCGGTGCCAACCAGGAGTACGCTGCGAAGGAGCTCAAGCGTCTGCAGGGACTCATTGCCAAGGGCAACCTGGCACCCGAGAAGATGGATGACCTGATGAGCAGGAGCAACATCTTGAGGAAGTTCATGGGTGATGCTGAGGAGGAGAAGTCTGAGTTGTAGACGACCCGTGCGTGAAGTAAGATTCCGCAATGAGGCATACCATCAACACTATTAAGATGATAAGATGAGCTGGGGGCGCAAAGAGGCCTGGCGCAGGAGCGACAGGCATACGTGATCATGACAATGAGAAAGAGGAACAAGTAGCAGAGAACCAAAAGTCAATACCCAGATTGCATACGATCTATGTAATTTAACACCAAACGCCAATGACTGAGACAGGCGCGATGCACACCGCCTGCTTTTGACCAAACATGATGCTTTCCCTGTAAATCTACTTGCCAGACCCTGAGCCCTTGGTACCATCTCCAGCCTGGATAGTTGCTTCAAGGTTATCCAGCCGCCGTGACATGTCATCCACTACGCGTTATTAGCCTTCAATGTACCTGCCATAGACGTGCTCGTACTTACTCTTGGCAAGCAGCTCGCTGCTGACTGTGGTGAACTTGGTGTTGAGTTGGTTTAGAAGGTCGTCAACAACTGCTGTGAGCTCTCCAGAACTCTCGGCATCTTTCGAGACGGCAGACTATGCGCGTGTTAGGTAGAGCGGGGCATCGTGAGTGTAACAAGCACGTACCGCAGTGTCGCTTTGCGCGCGGTCTGCTAGTGGTTGTGGCGTTGCCATGATTGAATGTGTTTGTGAGGAAAGCGAAGAATGAGTCGGGGAGTCTGCGAATGCGGAATAATTAAGTATCTCACAAGGCGATTGTCAAGCTGTCTGCTACAATACAACAGGAGAGATGCGCATACGGTGGATATGTAAGGTCGCGGAGCACGTGGTCTTCGCCGCGGCATCCTGCCCGTTTCGTAGGCGGTCAAGCTAGCGTGCGCGCTAAAATGTTTCTGCGCCCAGACTTCGAAGTTCACGAATTATTTTCTGGGAAGCTTTGACGTCTTGTCTTTTGCGACGTCCGATACTCCACACCCTTCAGAACCTCATAAAACTCAGACGACATGGCGAAGAAAGGCGTGCTCAAGTCGGCGCTCGACAACTACCAGGGCCGCGACATCAAGCGCGAGAAGCAGAAGAAGTACGTCAAGCAGGCGCTGAAGCGCAAGGAAAAGCGCGAAGCCAGGAAGGCTGCGGAGGAGGGCGAAAAGGATACTGAGGAGGGCGGCGTGCCTGTGCCGTTGGATGAGGTAGAGGTGAAGGTCAATGGCAAGACAAGAAAGTCGAAGAAGGACAAGAAGGCCGACGCAAAGGCTGCGCCAGCAGTCAAGGAACCCGAGTGGGAGACCGAGGGCGAGGATGACGACGATGACGCAAGCGACGATGAAGACGCGCCCAATGGACTTCAAGTAGACCTTGATCACCTCAACGACACCGATAGCGACATCAGCTCAGACGAGGAGGAGATACAGGCTGATGAGGCCGCAGAGGAAGATGAAGACGCTGAAGATGACGAGGACGATGACGATGACGAGGATGACATTGCGCTATCCGATCTGGACTCCGTCGCTTCAGAGGACAAGGGTGACATTATCCCGCACCAGCGCCTTACCATCAACAACACCGCCGCCCTCACCGCAGCCTTGAACCGCATCCAACTCCCCTACTCGAAACTCGCTTTCTCGGAATACCAGTCCGTTACCACCGACGAGCCTGTCGAGATCGCCGACGTCGAGGACGACCTCAACCGTGAGCTCGCCTTTTACAAGCAATGTCTGTCCTCGGTCAAGGATGCGCGGAAGAAGCTGAAGAAGGAGGGTGTGTCGTTCTCTCGGCCAGCCGACTACTTCGCGGAGATGGTCAAGAGCGACGAGCACATGGGCAAGATCAAGCAGAAGCTGATTGATGCCGCGGCAGGCAAGAAGGCTGCTGCAGAGGCACGCAAGCAGAGAGACTTGAAGAAGTTCGGAAAGCAGGTTCAAGTCGCGAAGCTCCAGGAGCGCGCCAAGGAGAAGAAGGACACTATTGAGAAGATCCAGACTCTCAAGAGGAGTACGTGTTACCTGTGTTCCAAGACTTGACTGGCAGTATACTGACAAACATGCAGAGCGACAAGGAGCCGACATCACAGCTACCCACGAGGAAGACCTCTTCGACGTCGCCGCTACCGCTGATGACGACAAGTCCGAGCGCCGCGGTCGCGGTGGTGCTGGCGGCAAGGACTTCAACAAGCGCCAGAAGAAGGACTCGAAGTACGGCTTCGGTGGCAAGAAGCGTCACGCGAAGAGTAACACCGCCGAATCCAGCGCAGACGGAAGCGGTTTCTCGGCTCGCAGGATGAAGGGCAAGCCCAGCGGTGGTGCAAGCAAACGGCCTGGCAAGGATAAGAGGGCGAAGAGACACTAGATGGTGTAGTCATATGGAAGGCTGAGTGACAATCACATGTCACGTTCTGCATGCGTATGGCGCTCCGGCGTTCAGGGACTGAATATAAAAGCACATTATGTATTCTAAGAGGCGGAATGTCTTACTTTGCTAGGAGATACCAATGCACAATTCTACGAACGTCTGGAGTCACTTCGAACTGCCGCTGTGATATCATTCTACGATTTCAGATGAGCGAGTTGGCGCCTACATACCGCCTTGTCTGGGCGATATCGCACGCCATCAACCCCCGTAGCGGTATACAAGATCGTTTGTATCGGTCTGTCGGCGCCCCATATTGGAGCCCGATAGCTCCAGGCGCCAGTCCCGCCTTCACCGCGATGCCGCAAACCACAAGCGACGACGTCATCTAACAAACGCTCGCAAGCTACTGAGTCCGTGCTTGCTCTTCACGCATACATTGCCCATCTCTCTCACCTTCATAAACTTCTCAAGTACCGCCCCAGATTACATTGCCTTCGCACCGACATTGAGATACTCGACTATCCCTACATCTCACCATGGACAAAGGCATCTACTTCGAAGGCGACGATGAAGTCATGCCCTTTAACAAATCCACTCCTATCCCCGCTCCCAAAGTCGACAAGCCAGTCGACGAACTCGCCTTCATCGACGTCGAACCCAACACAATCTGGTACTTGAGCATCATCCGACCACACATCGATTCTTACGAACTCATCGGCCCTGCGAAAGCATTCCACCACCTCCTTCCTCAAATCGAAGACGTCGTCAGCAACTCACCTCCCGCAATCGACAAGTACGCCCTCCTGAAAGAGAAGCCAAACGCCGATTTCCTGTTTGAAGATGACGAAGATGAAGAGAAGGAGGTTGATGAAGAGTTCTTGGAAAAAGGCTTCGACACATTCATTGTCGAGGGCCAACGCGGCGTCTACACTGTACTGAAGATACATCGCGAAATCAACAAAGACGTCTTTGATATCCTGCCCGCGCCCGTCTACACTATTATCTCCGCCGGCCCTCTTGCCCATGCCGAACACCATTCCTCTACCTCCTTGTCTTCGAAATTCGAGGCTTCCAAGCCAAAAGGATACGCGGCTACAACCAAGCTTCACGCTTCCTACGTCGACCGCGCTGATGCAAAGGAAGACGCTGAACATATCTTCACGGTCTTGCTCCTTGATACAGAGGACGTGAAGCAGACTAAGAGATGGGAGAAGGGGACCAAAGGAGGGGGTATCTTGATCGGTATGAACGCGAGTAGTATGTGGGAAGTCAAGGTCCTTTACATGGATGATCCAATTGGCAGGGCGCAGGAAGAGGCTGACAGGGAGCATGACGGGTTCGTTCTGTGAGGGAATGAGGGAGCGGGGAGGTATTCGGTGCGTCCACGATGATCAGACGGTTGGGTGATGGGGTTATGAAGTACTCCTCGGTATTGTATGAAGCTAAAGTCGGGAAGCTTTTGGTGTCTTAGAGAGCGACGGAACTACCCATGGCGTCCAGGATTTTGGCTTCTCATTCACACTTTCTACCGGCTTTGCTGTCGTCTCTTGTATGCTGAGACTCTCTATTGCTTTTGTGATGACGTTTTCACGGTGGAGGAAGCGGCCGTCTGGGCCTCGCGGTGCGCCCATGCATCCTGCGATCCGTGGAGGGTCGTTTGTTTTGCGGTTCTTTCGTACAAGAGCGAGGTGCGCAGTGAGTTGCTGACGTGCGAGTCGTCTTTTCTGGATTCGGTTCTGCTGCTTTGCGTTGAGTTTGTTGACTGGCGTCTCGACTGGTTGCTCGTTGGTTGCTGACATGTTGACTGATGCTTGGGGTACTGTCTCGGGCGTCCTTGCGATGACGGCCCGCCAATTATTGTACGGGTGGGGAAAGAAGAGTAGTTGGATATCTCAATGTCAAGAACAATAGTTTCATGGCTTTTCCCCGTCTAAAGTTTGCAAAAAGCGTTTGTCGTGCATCGCGGATCAAAGACATGCAGGGAAACAATGCCACATGATTTGTTAGTGATGACGTATGACGGTCAGGCGATGCGGGGACGTCTTGCAACGTCGTGAACACACGACCACTACCACAACACCATCTCATCGCAACGCGTCGATTGCTGAACAACAACGAGAGGCTCACAGCAACACGTCCAGCACGAGGAATGTATTGTCGAATTAGGCTCGCACGCTAGGCCCAACGGTGTCGGTAGAAAATCGGGTTTGACTCAACGGCCGACAAGGAACCTCACGTCACGAGTCGAGAACTTTCCGACCTCCCTCCAGAACTCCCGAGCCCAGGGGACAGACGCCAAGGAGACTAAGAAGTTATCACGCCGCACCGCTACTGCACTTCAGTGGACCTCCCTCGTCTTTGGCTTAGTTGCGGAAGCATGCCTCTGCTGCATCGGATTGTGGAGCGAAATCCCATCGGACCTAATCCGGTATACTATGCAGAGCCCAACGCTCTCGGTAGTTCGAGCCGCCGACCGACGACGAGATAACTGCTGTTATGCGCCAATACAAGCCTATGCACGATGTTATTGCCAACCTCTTGAGGCGCCTTCCTTCGTCGTTTGCAGGCTTCCCCACCATGGTGTCAAAAAATAACAGGATTGAACTTATGCGGTCACACTCGGTAGCATTCCGCAACAACACCAACGTTTGAAACAAGCCACAGGCGGAAACAGAAACACGCTACAGCCTGTCTCTCCACAAGAGATTGCGGTGTGGATACATCGGAAAAGGGTCGTTGGTGATAGGCCTACGGCTAAAGTGCAGGTTGAAGTGAACCACTACTGACTCAGGAGTGCTCCATCTCGCGAACCCACCAGCCTGGATGCACGCCTTCATCGTGTAAATTGAGTCTTAACAGCTCAAATAAGCGCAACAACAGGCTCAATTGACTGCGGTCGTGATATATAATGGTGTAGACTGGTGCCCTCCGTGAGTCTTGTCTTGAGATTGCTCTTTTCGACAACCACACAGACTTCGGTAGCCGCTCTACCTCCGAGACCCGTATGCAGTCTCTATCTTTGGCACAGTGGGTACGAGCACAGCGAGCGCTAGATGGTAGGTAGTAGCTCACCCGAACTCAGACGTGAGTGGGCTTGCAGTCTGGTTGTGTCTGGATCCCGATCATCACGTCCTTCAGCATGTGCGATCCCGCCGTGCCCCCCCTTTCCGTCATTACTCGTTTCACGTTGAAGAGGCGGAGAAATAATCTTGCTGCGTTTTCATGCGCTGAGATATTGGAAGTGGAAAGAGATATCGCAACACTGATGATAACAGCATTCTGCGAATCGTTCATGAGTGTCGATCCACTATTGACCGAACGTTGAAGTCTGCTCACATATTCCTGTACTACTGTGCATAGTCTGCACCGGCAGCGAAGGTCCGTCGAGCATGGTACCTGCACATCTTCAACTGATGAGACCTCCGACCGCCAAGTCTCCTACTGCCAAGATAATGGTTTGAAACAGGCACCCGTATGGTGACAGGCCCACCACCGCGGTTCCCAGGATCGAAAAAGCGGGCGCTACGGGGGTCAATACCACAATGACAGCTCTCATCCCTTCGTATGTTCATCTCGCTTCGCCACAGCTGTGCGGGATAGCGGAAATACGGCCACAGCCAAGAGATCTCGGCCTCATGCGTCGATGGAAAGAAACACCTGAGGCATTGTTTCATGGTGCAAACCAACGTCGGCGAAGAGGGGTTTGCAAGGGATGGGTGGAAAGACCAGCTCTGGTCACTGGAAACGGTTAGCGACATTGACCACAGCGCTCAGATAGGAACGCATGCTCAGATACATAAGAAGCAAAACACCACCACGATAGAGAGCTCATCAGCACACTTCTGCACACTGTCTTTCGCTTCTCTTCAGCTTTTCGCTACTACATTCGTTTCTACAGGCTAGTCCTACTATACAATCGTTTTTCATCTTCCAACCCACTACCAACCACCAAACCAACCACCACTACCCACCTCAAACATGAAGCTTTCCATCATCGCCGCAGCTGCCATTGCGCAGATTGCCTCTGCCCACTACACCTTCGATGTCCTCGTTACCGACGGCCAGGAGTCCAAGGGCTACGAGTTCATCCGCGAGAACACTCGTGCGGAGAAGTTCAACCCCACCAAGTGGAAGAACCCCCTCGACAACATGACCCCCGACATGGACGACTTCCGCTGCAACAAGGGCTCGTTCGCCAGCGCTGGCAAGACCGGCGTCAAGGAGGTCGCAGCCGGCACCAAGATGGCCATGAAGCTTGCCTACGGCGCTACCATGAAGCACCCCGGCCCCGCTTTTGTCTACATGTCCAAGGCGCCCAGCTCCGTCAAGGAGTACGAGGGTGACGGCGAGTGGTTCAAGATCTTCGAGTCTGGTCTTTGCCACCCCGACAAGGACATTCTTGGTGATGCTTGGTGCACCTGGGATAGCAACAAGATCGAGTTCACTGTCCCGGCTGAGGTGCCAGAGGGCGAGTACTTGATCCGCTCTGAGCACGTTGGTCTTCACGGTGCGCACGATGGCCAGGCTGAGTTCTACTACGCGTACGTCTTTCTATTCACTACTACAACAACATCGGCTAATACATAACAGATGTGCTCAAGTCAAGGTCACCGGCGGCGGCAGCGGCACCCCCGGCCCCACCGTCAAGTTCCCCGGCGCCTACAAGAAGGACGACCCAGAGTTCAACTTCAGCATCTGGGGCGGCTACAAGGACTACACCTTCCCCGCCCCCGCTGTCTGGGATGCCAGCACCAGCGGCGGCGCCCAGTCTCCCGCTCAGACCCCTACTGAGCAGCCTGCTGAGGAGACTTCGCCTGCTGCTTCTCCCGTGCCTTCTTCTGAGGAGCCTGCTGCTAGCAGCGAGGCTGTTGCGCACAACTCTGAGAACTGCAAGGGTGGAAAGGCTAAGCGTGGTCGCCGTGCTTTCCGCGAAGCTCTTCTCCGCAAGGAGTAAGATGTGTATGTTTTGCATGATCCGGAGGATTGAAACGACGATAGGCTAGACTTTATGCTCTGGTCGACTTTTTGTATATATACTTTTTTGATAGGCGCAGCCGTGCTGCGCTTTCTTGTAAATGTTGCTGAATGAGGAATACAATCAGTATGCATGAACACAGTGTGCAAATTGCTATTGGTCTATTGCCATCTTGTAAATGATGTGACAATATGTAGTAGGAGATCGTCCGAGGATTTACGAAACCAAGCGCTCAAAGCAAACAAGCAACGCGGAAGTGGTACGAAGCAGAGATGATAAATACATTGCGCTAACGGATCTCGAATCGCGACTAGTCTTTGCCGACTATATGAGGTATATCTTCTCGGGATGCCTCATCTTGTCGCGAATAGCATTCAGAATGAGTCGTTGTTGGAAACACCCTCGTAAACGTGCCACCATCTCCATTGTCAAGACGTGGATCCATAATATGCTAAAGTTCTGCTCGAGCGTAAACTTTGGATCAATCTTGACTTCTTGCAAGAGCGCCCAGGCAGTGCACATGATATTGGCTATTGTCCAATCAACCTTCAAGAAAGATCCCACCTTTTTTGCACTAATCCTTACACTATCAGGCGCGAGAAGGTGCAGTAGATCAATTCCCGAAAAAGCAGAAGATCGACTAGTCAACCTTTTGTTTACCCTGTCTTCGAGATCTGACATCGCATGTTGTAGAGGTGCGTAATCCTTGCAAGAATGTCGGTGATCTCTCACGACACTTCTGAGGTGGGTCCACAGCTCTTCCGGCGAAGACGCCGTTTCCAATTTGGCCGCATGAGCCTTCTGGATACGCCTAGTGAGACTTTCATCATACACTTCTGATACATAATAAGGCCATTGGGTTGAATCGGGGTAATCTCGCAGATCGGAATTCAACTCCAGGGACTCTGCGACAAATTCCCTTGCATCTTCTGAAATCCCTATCATCCCTGCTATTGTAGGACATCGGTAGTCCTCTCCAGTATGTATTTTGAATGGTAAGGTGAGTACTTCGCAGGCAGCTGATGCGCGAGGCAAACATTTTGACCAGCGTTCGTTCATCTTTGATCCTCGCAACAACTCAGCGTAGGCTGAGCCGGCTCTATTTCCATAGAAAAAAAGATCCATCAGCCAGTGCTCGGCAATTTCTTCCTCGAAAACCTCTAGACGATCTTCAATCCTGAACGCATCTCCAGAATTTGACGGTACATCCGCACCCAGAGGAGCACAAACGATTCTGAATCTGTCACGAAGGCTGTAGATAGCATCCGCATGTTTATTCAGTGCTAGAGCTGCCTGCCATTCCAGACATATGTACAAATGGGTATCACTGTATGGGAGATCCTGTTGTCTTGACTGGGAATCTCTAGAGCGCGTGAGTTGCAGGCCGTGCACTGGTCTCCCGTTGGTGTCTGTGAGTTCTAGCCTTCCTGTCGAAATGGAAAGTATGTGGACAGCTTCCAGCGCCAAAGTACCACCTAGTGGTAGTGGTTTGACAGAGCCCCGTCTCCAGCCTGAAGCTATAGTTAGTCCGTACCAAGTCGGAAGCATATTGAAGTTGTCTCGACGCCCCTGAAAGGCCTCGTCTAGTGTCCACCTGACGCTGGGTTCGTTGTAGTTGGGCAGTCTGGACCACTGTAGTCCCGACGATGGACGCTCCACAGATGTCGTGTCGAATTGGAGAGTCAATGGTGTCAATGAAGTGCACTCTCCGTTCATACTTATATGTGGTTGCGGCGTCCAGTCAGGAGTCCAAGAAGGAAGGAGTGTCATCTTGGGAAGCAAAGCCATTTCTAACACTGTGAATATTTGTTCCCTGTCACGGGTCGTACCTATAAGCCAGTACATTGCCAGACCAGTGTATAGCTGCTGCTTGCTAATACTGTAATCCACTGGTAATTTCCTTCGATCCTTCTCGGAAACTAGGCCCATGAGGCCGTATACACGATCGCGCAAATCACCGCATTGAGAATCTTTGGTGCCCTTGAGCCATGACAGTAGGTCCATGTCGCCGTCTTTGTAATCGAAGTGCTCAATCAGAGCCGAGACAGGCTTCTTCTGTTGGCTTGACAGGGAGTTCTGCACAAGATCGCGGAAGTCCTTCCAATGTGTTGTATGCTTGCCGACACTCATGGTGGCTGAATTAGCGAGCATGACTTCCTGGATGACCCAAATACGCGAGAAGTAGGGTAAACAAAGTATCGTGCTCACATCGGGGAAAGCACTCCCAGAAGGATGGTCGGATCTTCCGTGCTTATAGTGTGGCGATTCCGTGACATCTCCAAGGTCTTCGTTCCACTCTCCCAGATACGTCAGCACTCGGGCTGCAGACTTGTAAATATCTTTCATAAGCGAAACTTGACGACCTCGCTCATCCAAGTCGAACTGGTTGATGCAAGTAGCGTCAACCCACACAAGACGATCCACAGAGGTTCTAAAGCACCGAAGCGCCGCCAGGCAATTCTTGGTTACAGGTAGGATGTCATACTGTGGGCCGACGAAGATGGTCTCGCACAGTGATGAGTCGCCTTGTGAATCTGCCCAGGTGTAGGAAAAAGCCTCGAAAGTTGGGCGGCACGGATCGTGAAGCCCATGCACAAGAAGAGTGCAGTGAATGGGATCGCTCCTAGTCGCACTACCGTGCAAGCGTAGGAGACGAACGGAGTCGGCGTTCGGAAGGCTTGTGTATACTTTTTGAAAAGTAGTGGCCAATTCAGATGAGCTGTGTGTTTGTTCTTGGCCCTTCTTATTTGACTCCAATGACACTCCGGACTGTGAGGTGGTATTGTTGCTAGTCCATGCATCGATGCTCGCACCCACAAAAGCTAGCGTTGTTGCATGGTCGTTATCAATATTGTGTTGTGTAGAGCTTTTCGCATCTTCCGGGGTGTCTACGTAATCTCCGCCATCCGAATGTGCCTTGGGAAGCCGATCATGATCCAAGTCTCTCGCGACTTTTCGTGATTCTGCAAGAGTATCATCGGAGAAAAGTTGGGGCGGCCATGTGCACAGCAGTTGTGATCGTGGAACATCTGGCGGAGGTCCAGGCGGCGAGATTGGATGGATAGGCGCCAAAGCGGGCGCTTTACGTTGACAGGTAAGACATCCCGGTCGTCCATCTTCCCACTCCAACTTCAGCGCAGCGCATGTCGCGTCGTGCCAGGCCATGGACCCAGTTTGCGTGAGCTCCACCAGGTAGATAAGAGACGTGTTAGGAGTGATGGTGGAGAGGCCGTCGAGGAAGGCTGGAGCATGCAGCTACCCCGCCGAGGCTGCGGCCATTGGCCAGCCTTGCTGCATCTCACAGCCTCGCTGTGCATATGCGCAAATAGCTAGAGTCAGTTCTGGTGATAAGCAAGTGGGTTTCGACATGTCCCAAGAACGGCAGTTTTGATACCAGCACGCTGTAGACCGACCTGGTACCGCTGATGAGGTGAAATTACCTGTGAGATAAACTACTACTTGAGGCCACCACGAAACGCATCGAGCGCATCTGGGGTCAGACTCTGTGATGTCGACCATCTTGAGAGGCCCAACTCAAGCTCCTTGACAAATGTCACCAAAATGCTGGCGCACTTTCAAGATCTGGGACCATTTCCTGTCCCGAGGCCTCGAAGAGCCAGCTGGCACATGACAGCTGAGCATCGTGACGAACTGAGGCATTGCACCCCGGCGTCTGACAGGCTTCTCGTGTAACAATGAAGTCCTGCACAGGCAGAGCTGCGGCTGAGGCCACCACTGTCGCACAAAGTTTGCATAGTCGGTACGAGTTGTGGGGTGGTGACATCTCAGCGGGAACGCGAGAAAAGATGGTAGCGAAGCAGCAGCAGTGCGTTGGGCGACAATGTGGAGAAGAACATGCGGACGATGAATGTCGGGGTACGCGATGTCGCTTTGTCATGTACCTCAGAGCTCAGATGCCGCGCCTGAAGATTTTCTCTTCGGCGATTCGTGCTATGTCGGGGCTGAATTCTTTTCCGCGTCAAGCTTCGTCGGGGTAGGCACTAGCGCAGGGTATGGCCAATCAGGGTTGTGGGCCGTCGGATCGAAACCATGGGGAGACCTCCGCGTGATTGACAGCGAGCGACCCACGTGGACGAACCACCTCGGTAGCGACAGCCTTCTCGCCATCATCGCTACCACCATCTGCTCCCGCAGCGAAGGGACTGGATTGAGATCTCTCTCGGTCGCTGGGTCAGGTATCCTGACCGTGCATCGTGACCACATGCACTAATCAAGGGCGGCCCCGGTTGGACGTTTCCAGCGTCGGGACAGGAGCGGAGGCTGGGGTTGGTGGTGTTGGGCTAATGAGAGTGACTCGTGCCACACTGCGCGCTTAATTAGGAGCTCCGAAGGCCAGCGAAGTCGCGTATTGGCCGTTAGGCGTCCATGGCGGACAAGCGTCAGCAGTTCACATTCATCATGACCGCCGTTGCATTAGCGTTCAGCCACATGGTGTTGTCTGGGGAAAGAGGCCTGCAGTGGTGAAAAGCATAGCGCAGGCCATGCCATTGGCGCATCGTCAGCGCATCATCGTGATGAGTGAAAGCAGGCGTCGAAGGCGGAGGGAGCCGAGTGTAGGGCGCCGCGCACCTGGTATCGGGGGTTAGCGTCGTTACCAGTCTGCTCCAGACACACGTTAGCCGACTCCATGGGCCACGAGAGACTCCATGGGCCACGATGGTGGAGTCTAGTGAAGTGGGAACCCTTGGTCGGGGAGCACCTCACGTGCGGCTCTGAAAACCTAGAAGCGTTCTAGACAGGCAAAACCACCGTCTGTGCTCCAGCTGCCAAGGTCAAATCACAGCCGGTGCAAATGCCGGTCCGACACTTGTCAAATTACCAGGTTAGTCGGGCCAGTCGGGCCTGGAGAAGAAGCTGGAGCAGGCAAAACGCGGGCGACCATTCCCCAGAGAGCTGGTGGCGCGCACCCTTCACTGGGTTCCAGGCTAATGCACCCAATAGCAGGGAAGCACGGGCCC